TGAGTAATGGCTGGAAAAGGATACACGCTGGAGATCGTAGCGGCCATTTGCTCGGTACACACTGGACCTTGGTGATCATCGACTGTCACCAGCCGGTTATCCATGCACGACACTACGACTCTGATGGTACGTCCACCAATTTTGAAGCGGCTATGGTACTACTCCGTGGTTTCAGCAGAATCTATGCGGAAACGCGACCAGACTACAAGATTGATCAAAAGACGCTTGACACTAACCTCCACCGAGAAATGCGCTGCCCAAACCAAAAGCTCCACAACCGGTGCTACGCTGATGGTGGCGGTGCCTGTGGGCCTTTTGTATGGGCTTTCGCGAAAGATATGGTACAGTATATCATCGAATGTCATGAAGACGCTCACCGTCTGGGCCGACATGTTGACATTGGCATCACCTTGCCCGCTGGCTTTGCGCAACGTTGGTGTTGGGATTCGGGGGCGACGCGGAAAAGGATAAAGAACCTGCTTGAACTAGAACGAAGGTCGAGGGTTTGGCTCAATGGTACGCATGACTGGTGGGAGACAGATGGGCAGCCCGGGTGGAAAGATTGGCTGGCGGCCAGGAGTCAAAGGATAACTGCGGATTATTTCTGGGATCCGTGGCATGGCCTTCAAAGTTAAGATCCTAAGCAATCGTCATAGTTTGACAGCTTATGAAGATTTCAAAGTTTACATCATACTGTTCTCAACTTCCCTAATCACCAAGTAGTAGCCAAGTCAGGACTGGTACCTTGGGAGATTTCGATATGTTTCGTGAGCATCCCTCTTTTCACTATACATTCGAGAGATATCGAAAAGGTAACAAGGTTATGAGCCTACTATGAACGGCCGCCCAAATTGAGGCGCCAGTTCACTCTCTAGCTTCCATGGATCCCAAAAGGTCATCTCGTTCAATCCCTTTCCTTTCAGCCAAGATCTCCAACCTGCCATGCCGTCCCCCGGCGTGGAATTCCTCTTTCCCATACTATCCATCCATTCCGAAGTACGATTCAGCCACTCCCGGGTTCTCAGCTCTCTCAACACAAGATTCCATATCGTCCTACGCGTCTTCGTCGAGTCCCAGTTCCTACGGCGCTGGTAACCGTCTGGTAAACAAGGGTCGACTTGACCAACATCGGGAAAGTTGGGGTCTTCACGACAGTCGGCAATGTATTGCGTAATTTCCTTACTCATTTCCCACACGAAAGGGCCACAAGCACCCAGGCCGTCTTCTTCGCCGCTGACATTCTCATGGCCTTGGTTAGGGCAGTGTATGTCAATGTCAAACACAAATTCTTCCTCGTTGAAACGTCCCGGTTGGACATGATTGAGCATCGTTCGTACGCCAGTTAAGATCATTAGGGCCGCCTTGCAAATGTTCGAGTCTTCGATTGCGTAGTGATGTACAAGGCCAGCGGATTCGTGGTAGCTGGAGTCAAAGTAGCGGCCTTTGATGGTCGAAGAGCGACAGTCGACGAGGAGAAGAGACCAGTGATTGCCTGCGGTTTGTTCAGGAAGCGTGGAATCTGTGTTAAGGTTCGTCTTGGCCGCTTCATACTGACGTTCACGTTCCATGCCTGTCTCGTAAACTTCTTCGTACGCGTTACTGATCGGTACCAAGATGAAGTCTTTGTCCCTGCATTTCTCAATCAGCAGTCTATCGAACCATACTGCCTCCTGATCTTGAAGTTCCTGCGCTTTCCTCATACTGGTGTAGAGCTCGGCTCCCTGACTAATACGACAGATTGCGATCCCGTGTTTCTGGCAGTTGACTGCTCGTTCCAGTATATCCAGAGATGTATCTATGTGACTATCGTGAAACCAACCGTCTTCAGGGCCGAGAGTGAGAAAGTGGACAAACTGAGATTCTTCGATCGATGCATTTGCGGTTTCGAGGACAGTATAGCTGGGCTTTGCGGTGGGAATGTAGTCGCGATCAAAGACATCTAGCCGCCGAATACTCGTGTAGGTATCCCAACTAAAGGCTTCTGCTTCCCTGAACGCATCAGTGTCTTCGAAGACACTATCATACTTGCGCGCTTCGTGATGCCCATCACTCTTGGTTGACGACAGATCTCCTCCCCCAGAATAGGCCGAGCAATCAACCGACCAGCGGCGAGGATATTTCGTTGACCTAATCTCAGATTTGCGGAGTGTCTGGTTGTTGGTTACAGCTTTAAGAAGTCGAGCGCAGTTGCCGATTGGGATGGCATGAGAGATAAGATTGTCGGTACCTCTGCTGCTGACACGATCAACCCCGGTAGTAATGTAAGAGGCTGCCTTGAAACGGGGGACACTTGTAATGTCGAGAGCATCGATGGATTTCGACGACAATATTTGGGAGGATCCTATAGGCGGGAGACCATTCCAGGCAAGTGCTTCGTGGAGACTTTGTAGCGATTGGTGGCTAGCTTCCGTACTCATGGCGCGTGGTCTTGCGAGTTGTGAATGGCCAACGAGCGATATGAATCCCAGTGCATTCGAACTTGAGATTGGCTTTTCATGTGCAAGACGCATACGGAAAGTCATCAGATGATGTAGCTTGCTCTTGGCATTTCGCATCCAGGCAGGAGCTAGAGAGACATGAACACAATGGGGCACTGACAAAGCGTGAGATAAAGGATACAGGTCGTGAAAGAGAGGCAGACGGGACCAAGAGAGTGATACAAAGAACAATGATGCAGGCATCAGACACTTCACACAAGCAGAAAATAGAGCGAAGAGCTTCGTTAATGTTGATACGCAAATCGATCGCTAGCCGATCATCAGCATCGCTCGCTAGATGCTCCTTGATAACTATCACCAATGCAGACCCGAGAAGAAAGTAGAGCGACAGCAAGGAGAGCATGCACGTGCAATCCCCATTAACGAAATTAGTTCCCCGCCTCACAGCACCATGTAACGATGCTTAAGCTTATTTCCTCTCGTCTACGATCACATCTTAACCAGCCTTTCCGGCCTCATCCAGCCTTGTCAGCATGCCCTGGACCTCCTTGACGAGAGCCTTGCGCTTGAGCCTAGCTTCTGGATCACCTTCCGTCTCGACACCATCTAGCTTGAAGATGATCTGGGTCAAGATAGTCTCACTCAGCTTCTTGTATTCGAATGTCCTCTTCGCCTTATCTTCTGGCGGGCTCGCCATGAATTGCACGCACATGGGTACGAACTCGGTGTGGAACTTGCTGGCGATGGCATCGAGTTTGCCGATCGGGGTTTGGGGCTCGGCGGGTTTGGCTGGGGGAGGAGTGGGACTCGGGCGCGGTGCCGCACTGATATGCGAGGGGATAGGGAGGTATTCTGCGCCGGCCCCGCCAGTTGTGTAGCCGGGTGTTGAGGTGCCAGAGGCGTTTGCGGAAGAAGGACCCTTCTTCTTGCTCTTCCTGCCGCCGCGCTTGCGGGACTTCTTCTTGCCTGTGGTATTCGCGCCAGAGTCGACGTCATCTTCGTCATCATCGTCGTCCTCTCCCTCGCTGTATGCGTGTTGTGGTGCGTCTTCTGATCCGGGTGCTAGGCCACCGACTGGGGTTTCGCCTACTGTGACTAGAATCTCACTCCCGGTTCCGTCACCACGGAGGCCTTCTTCTCGGCCAGTCCGCTCGTCGTGCTTCAAATTCCTGCCCTTGTAGAACATGCGTATCCGCCTGTGGTCATCGACGCCCAGCTTCTTTGCTGCCGCTTGTCGAACTGTACCAATCTTCAGGTCTCCATCGCGTATGCTGTGCGCGGGGAAGTGTGTAGGATAATGTGTGCGCCCGTTCTTGAAGATGAGAACGTCTGTTTCCCGTTCTGGGTTCTTGTCATCCCAGTCGACGATTTCGGGTGCTTGCGCTTGACCATTTCGTCGGAGGTCTTCGTTGGTGATGTAGGAAAAGTCAGAGTCGTTAACGACGCCGGCGTTTGGCGAGTTGCCTGGACGGCCAAATGGCGAGAAGCGTCCTCCCCAGTTTCCGCCGGTGCGGGAGAACCAGGACATGGTGACGATGACAGAGGCTAGTGCGATAGCAAGGGTGGTAAGGTAGGTAGGGTCGTCGAGGCGAGGGTTCGTGAGGAACTCGGCGACGTCGTGGAAGCTGCGGTGCTGTAGGGCGCGCAACAGTTTCGATAGCGCGTTCGTGTGTTGGTTTTCAGTGTCGCCCGACGAAGAAGTTGTCGTGGAGCTTAGTAGAGATCGAGAGTCGCGGAAGTTGAAGGATTTCTTCAATTCGTCGACCAGGTTACTTAGCGACGCCACGGTGGTGGTGTGAGACTCGCCCTGCCAGTGTAGCAGGCCGTAAGCAGTCCGCGTATGCGAATGACGTAGTAAGCTGCCAGAAAAAGCCCTTGGTTGTGTAGTGGGGGGCGGCTGTAGGCGGTGTGAATCAATGTTGATCGGCCAAAAGTATGAGCGACTGGTACGGAAGCTCCGACCGCCCAGTGCCGCATCGACCCACTTGACTGCACATGTCTCCCACCTACGAATAGTCACTGAACGTTAGGCTTCGCTGCATACACACTGTTATAACTTAGCAAGTCAATAATTTCTAAGATCACGTATACTTCTAGCTTGATGGATTCTTCAACAATTCTTTACAACACGCCACGACTTGTTGCCGCCCCTGCTGACGCAGTACACAACTCACACATCACTCGTTGGAAATTTGGTGGTCATGCAATCGTTGATTCAGTATAATACACAAGCTAGGCTTGATCATGTGTACCGTTCTCGTAATGATCAGTGTCCATCGGACACGTAAGATCCAGAAACAAAAGGAAAGATTTTGAGGGTTATGCCTGGAGAACCGTTACGCCCCGATGCCAATTATGACGTGAGAAAGAACAAAGATTTGACAAGAAGGAAGTATCGTAAGTCATGAGGCGATGCACAAGCATCGTGACAAGTACGCCAGCAAATGACTGGAGAGTGAACTGGGAACAAATGCCCGTCGAATCATGGATGATGCATGTTCGCTACAGCTTGTGACGAACACACCTCAGTAGCATCACATTCTCCGACCAAGATAAGCAAGCTTACGCCCTGCTTCGTTTAGGCGTAGCAAGGAAGGCGAGCCTTGACTTGCTGATAGCACCCGCACGTCCTGGGGTGTGGCGAGCTGGCTTGCTTGCGCTGGCAGGGGCCTTTGGAGCGGGTGCAGGTGTCCGCTTCATCTTCTTGTTGGAGCGCGTGTCGTCGTCATTAGGTCCATCGTTCTCCTTGTCGGATGTCTCCTGGAGGGTCTCCAGCTTGCGCTTTGTGCCGTCGACAAGAGAAGATGCATCGCTCGGACGTACCATGCGGATCGTGCCAGTCGATACAGGGCCTAAGGAAATTAGTTAATCGTCGGTAAAGAGAGACAAGACGAGGACCTACCAAAGCTGACAGTGTTGCCGGACTCGAAGGAAAAGGAACGTGGATGATTAGGAGCTTCGCCACCGAATGTGAGGCGACGAGATGGAGAAGCGGTCAGAGTTTCAATCTCTTGAGAAAGATCTGGGCCATTGTGTGCTCCTGAGCCGAGAGTAGGATAGATCACAGCACCAGCAGGCACTTCACTGCCTGCCCTGAACTTCATCGGGGAGGGTGATTTGCCCAGCTCGTCGTGCGACGCGCGCTCCAAAGTACTACTGCTGAAGTTGACTTGCTTCTTCACAGGAGCTGTAGCAGGGACCAGGGACGGTGCTTTGTCGAGGCTCATGGTTGGAGGTGACATGTGAGTGCCTGCCGCGATTTTGCTAGGATCGTCCGAGAATTTGCGGTTTGGCGTGCGAAGAATTGATCGGACGCGCTGCAAGTTGCTGCTTGCCTGCTGATGTTAGTGGATACTTGGAAAAGCGCCCATAAAAAGACATACCTTGCGCATGCTCTCGCGTGCATTGTCCCTCAAAGTCTGCAGATGGCCAATGTTGCTAGGAGGAGAGAAGGTATTACGGGCAGAGGACGACTCGAAGCTACGATTGACAGACGGCGAAGCTCCCAGGTTGTTCGTGGAAGGCGACTTGCCTAGAGTTGGAATCATCGATGTCGTCTTCAGAGTCTTGACGCTCTGTGAACGCGCGATAGACGACTTCGTAGGCGTCATCAATCGCGCAGCTAGACGAGGGAGTGCAGTTTGAGATGTCTTCTTACGGGCCGGAGTAGCAGCTGCGCGGGCTGGGACATCGGGCACCTTTTCGCGAGACGCAGGGCGGGTGGTGGCAGCATCGTCAGATTCGGTGCGCTTGACACGCTTAGCTACCGGGTTACGGTCACCGTCGCCGTCGCGGGAGGCCGGTCGTCCATCGCGTGTAGGAGGAGCCATGCGAGCTGGTGGCTGGGAGCGTGGCAGGGCAGATCCGGTGAGGTCCATCTTGGATTGAGTGCGCTTCAACGGGGTTGGGGGAATCTTGCTTCCGGATCCTGCGAGGTCCATCTTCGACTGTGTGCGCTTTAGACCTCCAGCGGCACTCGAGCTCGGCTCCGCCAGATCTGCCTTCGACTGTGTACGCTTGAGTTTGTTCGTCTCCGTGTTCGCGAGCTCTGGTTTCGAGGGCGACTTCTTGATCGACTGGCCCACGACGGGCTTGAATCGTGTCGGGTCGGCGCGGAAAGCTGACGGGTGGTTCGCGATGGAGTCCATGTTCTTGAACTGCTTCATGTGTACGTCGCTGAAGCGAGCCATCTTGCCCTTGGCTTCGGCCATCTTGCGCTGGGGAGACACGTCGACCTTGGAGGACCACTCGCTCGTGCCTATATGAAAATAGCGATTAGAAAAAGCAAAACAGGTTGAGTTGACTATCACTTTAACGTACCGAACAGAGCACGGCTGCCACCACCAGGAGTGCCTGCGATCCCAGCGTCTTTCAGGATGTTGCGCGAGCTTGGGCTCAGCGTGGCTTCGTCTTGTTTCGAGAAAGGCGACTTGAAGCGGAAACGGAAGTTAGGCGATGACCCTACATTGGCCATCGAGGAGGCAGCTACAGGAGTCTTCGAGGGCGTTGCCTGACCCACCAGGCCGGTCGCTTTGGATGGCGCGGTACCCAGTGACTGAAAACCGAGCCAGCGCGCCTCATCCAGGATCTTGGCTGTGCTCGCGTGGTGATGCGCTGGATGCATCTCCTGTCCTGCCGGCTTGATCGGAGTGCGATCTTTCGGTGTTTGGCTCTTGGCGTCATCAATGAGCGACTTGGTTGATTTGCTCTTATGAGGTGTGGGTGTCGCGGCCGCTTGCGGTAACTTGGACTGGGCCTTGGGACCTGCAGAGGCGTTCGAGGGCGTCTTCCGCGCCATAACAGGCTCTGGCAATTCTGGAAGATCTGGAAGGCCCAAGTTGGGCGACGAGGCAGTGTGCCAACTATCTTCGGAGGGCGTAGTCTCGCGCTACAACAGACGCATCAGTAAATGTAAACAAACGGTGGAAAAGCAATGTGCGCGTACCTTGAGCAGACGAGCTGATCGACGCGCCATCTTGTCAAGAAATGTTCAAGAAGGATCAGCTACTAGGTTGCAACACGAAGGGAGCGGAGATTGGGACTGGCCTGTGGGTGGGGAGGGACGGGGAAGATATCGGCTAGAGCATGGATAAACAAAGCGCACGGGCCTTAACGTCCCGAACAGGAAACGACGTCATGAGGAACCACGAGATGTGAGGGCACGTGGAGACTGCAGACTACATTGAGATGTAAACATGGAAGTGGGTAAGCTAGCCTTAATGTAGGCTCTAGGATGTTCAGGTTTCTCCAGGGCTTCTAGGTTGACGTCCTGCAGAGAGGCACAACTGGCGCACAGCGCACAAGACAGAGCTTCGTTGTTTCGCGATGGAATGTTTTCCACATTAATGTCAAAATCGCCCTGCACTGACTTCGCGCATGTTCTACCGGATACTAGTCCACAGCTCACCAGCCCTTCCGCGTTTCCTTCCCAAGCAGTGCGCCAGGCGGTTTCGCCAAGCCAGCCTCAACACTTCTCTCCACTTCGTTCCTCAGCCCCTCAATTCTCTTCTCCTCATCTTGGATCTGTCCCTTCGTTTGTTCCTCACTTTTCCATACGAAGTTACCAGCGCCACCTCTTCCACTCCTCGCAACAGGAAGTTCCTGGCCTTCTGGATGCCATGGCTTGCTAATCTGTGGCTTCGATGATGTGGGAATAGCAGTTGCGTCAGCAGCCTGCGTGAAGGTGCCCTCTTTCTGAAGTTCAGTGGGCTGGTACCAATTGCCGGCACCACCACGACCCATGTGTGCGTAGTCTTGCGACGCATTGGAGGGCTGCACTTGTGGAGGGTCGCGTGAAGGTTGCGCAGCGGCAGTGGTGGAAGAGCGGTTGGCTTCGACGTCCTGTGTTGACGGTCAGCATACCTAAGAACACCTGGGCATAGAGGATTAAGAATGCATGATCATTATCGACTCACTTCGGCAACCTTCTTACTTTGCTCCTGCGCCGCGTAGTAATTGCCTGCACCACCGCGTCCGTACGCCATCGTGATCAGATGCTTACAGCGACAGACTACGGCCTCGTTTTGCAATTTGTTGTATTGGGCGTAGGTGCACAAGAGCTATCAATGTTGAACCAAAGAATTGATCAAAGAAGAAGATGAATGGAGAGGTTAGACGTTGCTACACGGTACGCGGCTCCGAGTGGGTCATGCGAAACCATATCAATCTGCGCCCAATGTTCTGGATTGATAGGAACGTGGGGAAAGGCTTGTCTAAACGACGATCTACGAGATTCAGTGTGGGGTCGGAATTGGTCATAAGCTTGGCAAATTGATAACGCGGGCTGCCAAGCAGATGTCACCGTCTTGAAAGACGACTCGGGTATGATGATCTTCTACACATGCTTCAAGGTTTGCATATTAGTTGCGCGACGACTGCTCAAATGTCAATCAATCACATACATGTCATGTAATCCTCGAGTTGAAACTTTGAATAATCGTGATATTCGCACACTGCTACTAACAAGTGGAAAGCTGAACATGCTACCGAAGGGCCTATTCCCTAATGGCAGCCGTGAAAGAACATAACAAGACATCGCTATACCGATCGAAACAGTTATTGGCCATCGTCCCTGATGATGCCACCAAGCCTGGTTAACTCCTTGACGCCATCATTCCCTTCTGAACTCCATAAAGCATCTTGAACCCGCCCAAGAAGAGAAACACTACTCTCGGCCCTCTTGTACAGCGCGCAGTACGGGGTAGAGGTTGTGTGCATCGTCGTCGCTCATGCGGCGCTCGAGATCGTGCTTGACGTCTTCCTCATCGTCAGAGAAGTCATGCGACTCGAGTCTGTCTTTGAGATACGCCCTGAGCCTCTCAATGACTCGGATGTTCTCAACCCAGGATTGCTGAGACTGGTCGCCTTGTTCTGTGTTGTTTGACGACGCAATGCTTGGTGAGCGAAGAGCAGGGTCAACCTTGGGCGAGTGGATAGCCAACTGGTTAACGTCATGGTGAAGACTGTTTTGCTCAGAGTCCCGGCGATCCTTGGGCGACGCACCGTCGCTTGACATATCCATGGAGTCGTGCTCTGATCGGTCCGGAGCGGCTTTCTGGAGGAGGTTACCAGAGAAGCGGCGACGGCCATCAGAATCAAACGCTGGTGCAAGTCCAGAAGATGGTGCAGCAGCTGACATGTCTGACATCGCGCTGACAGATGGTAGAGTAGGGTACATGCTACCAATCGAACTCCTTGATGTGGGAGAAACACCGTTGTTAGAGTGCTGCGCACCAGGAGAGTGCTGAGATCCGTATGACAGCACGCTGGATGCTGGTGTCAGAGCAGGGGTCTCAGCGCTGGTGGATCCGATGGCAGTGGCGTGAGACGACTGGGAGTGGCTAGACGAAAGGCCAGGTGGCGAGTTGCTGGAGCGGTAGCCAACGCCGGTAGGAACGTAGTGTCCGGGGTGGGCCACACCAGCAGCCGCAGCGTGGTTGGGGTTCTCATAGACGGTGCTTTGCAGTTGCTCCAAGAATTGGTCAATGTTCAAGAGATCGCTCTTGGTCCTGAGGTTGGGAAGCGGCAGAGAGTAGGGGTGGTGCATGGGTGGGTGCTGTGCTTGAGCAACCATTGAGCCGCCGTGGCCATACTCAGACATGCCCTGGCCCTGGTAGCCGCCTCCACCTCCACCAAGGACGGGAAGCTGAACACCTTGGAGACCCATGAGCCGTTGGCCGACATCATAGTAGGTGGTTGGGTCAATGGCGCGACGCTTGGCGTCTCCGAAGAACTCGTTGAGCGCATCATACGCGGCGCGCTTCCTGATTTCGTAGTCGTTGTTGAGCTGTTGCGATTGGTTCACAGCATAGTAGACAGGGCCATAGGCGGAGTTCTGGGGTGGGCCTCCGTAGAATCCGGCTGGGGCACCACCTGGGTGTTGCTGGCCGTAACCTCCGTTGGGGCCGAGGGCACCATCAGGATATTGGTATCCACTCGCTGTGGCAGCAAGCGCCTGCAAGTCAGCGACAACTGTATGTTCTGTTAGATAATGATCGAGGTTGGGTAGCGGACATGGATCGAAGTTGAGATCGACCAAGTCATGTGAGGAGTACTTACGCTTGCCGTTTTGGCCCGGGTAGCCTTGGGCGCCGTGGGGACCGCCTCGGTTGGGCTCTGGGGAGCGGAGTAGCACGGAATCGTCGGCGTGCGTCTTTACGTGCTTCTTCAGATCCTGAGGACGCTTGAACGCCTTACCGCAGAAATCGCACTTGTGCGGCTTCAACGGCACGTGCACGCGAATGTGGGAAGTGATGTGGTCACGCTTGACCGTGGTGGTGCGGCAGTTACCCCACTGGCAGGTCAAATTCAGGTTGTTGGTGCTCTTGCGACCAACATGGCGCTCACAGACGTGGTCCTGCACGCAAGTCAGCGAGCTGCAAAGACGAGTAATGGCAGTGTTCTACGCGTCGCGGCGCGGTATGCAGCCGTCGCTAAGCACACTTGGCGAAGAACTTACATAGAGCTGCTCAGCAGAGGGAAGACGGTCGCCGCAGTTCTGCCACTGGCAGGTAAGCTGGTCGCCCGAGCCTGCAGAGACTGAGGCGGGTGTTGGGGCATTCTGCTGGATGGGGGTGCCCTGGGGCTGCTGTTGAGGAGTCGTGGCCGCTGCGGGCACTGTATTCTGAACCTCGCTCATCGTCTTGGCGAAGGTGCTGGCAGTTACCAACAATGGTGAGGGTAAAATGTGGGTGACAGAGTCAAAACCGCGCAGAGCGATGACAGTTATCGCAAAGTTAAGCTACGGTAAGGAAGGGGCAGTCTGGGGTCGTGGAGCAAAGTCAGAGGAGAGGGCGCCCAGAGGTTCTCGGGGGCAGTTGGCAGCTTTTACCAGCGGAACGGAGCGGGCGAAGATTCGCCCAGAGAAAGAGAAACTGGCGCGGCCCATGAGCGAGGCACTGCCGGGCTAGGCCGGGGCAGGCATGGTCCGTGTAGGGTGGGCGCAGACGTCCTGTGATTCGGCCTTGCCTGCTCAGCCGCCCCACTCTCGTGCTCACTGGCGCCTTGGCCCTCATCTTGGCCGAACGCGATGGCTTCGCCGACATCCGTCACTCGCAAATGACCACATGCGACCCAGATTCACGTACGCGCTCCCTGTTTTCGCGGGGTATCTGGTCGGCGCATCCAGAGACACCACGCACAAGCAGGGCCATGGGCGTTGTTGCGCGCGCCGCTGGGTGCCTTGCCGCACGCTCGACCCCTCACACAGAAGCGACACAACCGAAACAGCAATCAAAATGCGGAATTCTTGGTGCCCTTGGCTTATGAGCAGCAGCGGGAAGTATTGGCATCCAATCTACTCCAGTTTTCGCTGCGATCCCATGCTCCTGTCACGCCATCCCATCATCGCTGGTGGCGACAGCTGTGGCTGGTTGGCTGGCTATACCACATACCTTGAATTACTTGGATTACAGAGCCGCCCGACTGCCCATCGGATGTCTTGCTGACTTCCCGGCTCGGGCGAATGGCCTGTCGCACTCGCATTCTATGCAGTGGGCCATCGATGCTTGCCAAATGCCCCTCATCTCAACGAGATGTTTACGGCACACCAGATCATGTACACGCCTGTAGAATCATTCAGCATGATCTCGATCTTCGGCGCAAATGTCAATATACCAGCCTGTCAACCTTGTAGTCGCGCCGGCCGTATGTAGATGAACTCTGTCGCAACCACCTCCCCTTGACATTCCCTGAGCATATAGTACACTTCCAACACGTCGAGGCCCTCGAAAAGGTCCCCTGAATGGCTCCGGGTTTCCATGTCTCAAACGGTCGCCAGCTTTGGGCGGGATGTCCACGCATCCACGTTTCCACTCTTGGCTCTTCGCCAAGTGCCCAGCAAGTAGGCCAAGAATTGAGCGATTATCACATTGAGGCTATGCACGCTTACGAGGCAGGAGGTATGACCTTGCGGAGCAATCACACCTACCGCGTGCGTAGTTCGCTCGTAGTAAGTCGCACCGGTCCCAGGAGGCT